ATAGATTAAATTGAATTACTTCTGCTGCCCGCGCTCCTCCACCCAGGAGTATAAGTGAGTGCGAAAAAACTTTCAGGGAAACCAGACAAAATCCGGAAGGGAAGAGGGGAAGGAATGATTTGTAATAGACTAGCACTCAGTGCACGAGGAGTACTAAAATTAAGTCCCAGTCACTTCATGTCCGTAAAACAAACCATCATAAGCTTCAGTGGCTGGCTATGTGGGTCGATTGAAATGTTAAGAATAGCAAAGGAAAAATTGAAATTAGATACAGTCATAACCCGCATACAAGAATCTAGGTTTTTTCAAGTTAGCCTCCGTGTATTCTTACATAAATGGTGTATACTGTGAAATTAGACTACTTAGGTTCTAAATCAGGTTCTTAGGTTTTTTTGTTTTTTTTTAAACAAAAAAAAGAAAGAAACTTCTACTCGTGGGTGTAGGTGTAACACTGCGCTGTTTACCAGCCCTGTACAGCCCTGCTTCTGCACACAGTTATGGATGTATTGACAGTACAGTAGTGGGAACCTATAACGCTGGCAGTGTTCTGGCTAGATGCTATTACCCTTTTTATATCGCATTTCATGAGCTGTAATAAATTTGAAAAAAAAAAAACTCTACATCCTAAAAATAAAAGGGGCTTAACTAGGAAACTTTAGCTTAACAGGTTCTTAACTTTTAGGTTCTTAGACGCGGGATTTTATCGTACTACTCACTATTGCTACAATCCTCAAGTTAGCTGTGGACAATTATTGAAAAGTGTATTGTTCACGGCTGATGCAATATTTTCTCTTCGGCGGCGCACAAATACATGTAGTTGAAACTGGACAATGAGAAGTTCAAATTTTGCCGTCCTAGCTGGCCTCTCAAGTCTCGTATGCAGACTAGACCTCTTACCTTTTACTTTGTACTGTGAGTTACTGAGGCCTTTAGCTCTTGTCTAAAGTGAGTCCAGTACACAGCTTCATTTTTCGACGTTGTAATAACTTTTCGTAATGGTCGGATTTATATTCCTCTCTAGATCGGCCGAGCAAGCGATGTTTGGTCTTTAGGCTGTATCCTGCATATGATGGTGTATGGTAGGACTCCTTTCCAACACATAACTAATCATATTTTCAAGCTGCAATGTATGATGGATCCTTCACACGTCATCGAGTTCCCGGAAATTAAAGACAAAAACTTGCTTGATGTCATGAAGGTTTGTCGACTCATTTGTCTTGATAAGAAAACATTAAAAATGATCGTGTCTATTTACAAACCTGAAAGAACTCCCCTCGTCCATTGATGTCTAAAGAAAGGCCACTTTTTAGCGTTTTTCCGACGAGCAGAAGTGAGAACTCTGCGCGAATGACACGCAACGCGAGGCGAGTGCTCTTCTCGCGTGTGATTCCACCCTTTGCACTTGCTTCTGCTCGCCCCAAAAACCAAAAAGAAAAACATCACACCTGTTCAGCCGTCTCCTGTGTGACTGTTTGCCTTTCCTGGTATTTTTAGGGTTGTCTTCTCCGGAATCCCAAGGAGCGTTATACCATCCCTCAGTTGTTGGCTCACCCTTACATAAATCCTCCATCACATGGTGAGTGTGTCAGCGTTGAAGTAAGGTAAATTGTTTGTCAATAGAGTATAGCAGCAAACTCAGTCAGTCTTTCGCAGAAAATAGGCTGATAGTTTCGAAAGAAACTGTTTGGGGCTGCGTCGGTGGGAGTAACGAAATAACTTGGATATATCAACAAAGTTGAAGTGGTAAATTGGCCACCGTAACGATTACAAAAGCTGACGTTTCGAGCGTTAGCCCTTCGTCGGAGCGAATAGAGGAAATGTGGGTTGTGTGTGCTTTTAAAGGCAGAAAATGGAGCTACGTTATTGGTGGGAACATGGCAACGAGAAAAACAAGAATAAATTAGTGGAATGAAAAGCGTTCGTTGATCCCTGTGGGATTTAGACTGCCGGTTTGAAAGATGAGCTTTAGTTCAAGATTTTTACGGCTTTCCGTGCTACCTAAGTGTAAGGAAAGACCTCAGATTGCCATATGTTTGGAATGATTAGGTAAATTAGAATGTCTAGCGACTGGTTTCGACGTGTCCTTGTCATTCCTTTCCACGTCTCGAAGGTGTTCTCGGAATCGGTCACCTAGTCTTCTGCCTGTTTCGCCGATGTATATCTTTTTGCAATAAGTACAAGTTATGCAATAGATTACATTGGCGGAGGTGCACGTGAAGTGATCGGTGATCTTAATGGATCGTTTAGGTCCCGATATTTTATCAGTGTTGTGAATGAAAGGACACGTTTTGCATCGTGCACGAGCGCATTTAAAAGTGCCTGGTTGGTCATTAGTCTGAAAAGAACTTCTGACCAAAAAATTGCCTATGTTTTTGTCGCGTTTGAATGAAATGAGCGGAGGCTGCGAAAAGATAGTGCTTGTCTCTGGATCGTTTTGAAGTAATTTAAAGTTTTTAAGAATGATCGATTTAACTGAGTGGTTGTGAGGGTGAAACGTGAGAGTGAATGGAATGCGGTCGGAATCTTCCTTATGCGACGTTTGTAGTGCTGAATGTCAATCAATAAGTTGGGCGCGGTGGTAACCAGCTTGAACGACAGAAACGGAGTAACCACGTTTTTTCGTTTTTCGATAAACGTGGTTACCCGGAAAGGAATGACAAGGACCCGTCGAAACCAGTCGCTAGACATTTTAATTGACCTAATCATTCTAAGCAACATCGGCAATCTGCGGTCTTTCCTTACACTTAGGTAGCACGGAAAGCCGTAAAAATCTTGAACAAAAGTTCATCTTTCAAACCGGCAGTCTAAATCCCACAGGGATCAACGAACGCTTTTCATTCCACTAATTTATTCTTGTTTTTCTCGTTTCCATGTTCCCACCAATAACGTAGCTCCATTCTCTGCCTTTAAAAGCAGACACAACCCATAATTCCTCTATTCGCTCTGACGAAGGGCTAACGCTCGAAACGTCAGCTTTTGTAATCGTTACGGTGGCCAATTTACCGCTTCAACTTTGTTGATATATCCAAGTTATTTCGCAGAAAATAGACGTATCCAGTGTGTTAGTTGTAGAATGCAAGCAGGTTATTGGCATTATACAAGCTCATCGCTCAAAAAGTGTATAAAGCCTAACTTTTAACAATGTATTCTTACATGGTCAAGCTAAGTTGATGGCGCTCGGCACCAAAAGGGACAGGTTTATCGCAAAACAGCTCAATTATTTAAAATCACCAACTGTTTCACACGTTATTGTTCCCCAATTTGATACTTTTAATTTAATAACAAGCATCTGCCATGCGTGAATCTATTAAAGAGAGCATGGCTATTACAAAGTCGCACAGAGCGCAAAATCATTCGAGTGATGTATTGCTGTCTTACCATCAGATCCCCCGGTGGAAATTGAGGATGAAGACAAAATGTTTCATGTCCTGATGGAGTTCGCCAAGGCAGATGTCAACTCTCCCCGCTCGGTGCGAGCTCTTAGTAAGGTAAGATTTGTCTTAATCAAGCCTGTCACGAACTAGCAAAGATTCTGAAAAAATTTGGAGACTTCTTCCAAGAAAATCAAAGGCATTTATTTTCTATCACTGTGCGGGACGCCACTGATTATTTTGGGCTGAAGGTGTGAGGATGTCATTCATCTTATTTCACTTTGCTTTTTCACTATTGATACTCGTTTCAAGAATGGGCCTTAACGTTTCCAGAGTAAATAAAACTAAACTAGCTTGTATGCAAAGAATGCTTAACGTAATCTCCTTTACCCATTTGTCTGATTGCATAGCGATCAGAAAATCCGATCTGACTTTCATAAAATTATCAATATTATAAAGAAATGCCTTACCGCAGATTTCAAACAGTACTAAACGTTATCTTTTTACCAGTTGCACTCACTGATAACTTGACTGATTTTTTTCCCCGTTTTTCAGACGTTTTACAAACAGCTACTCACTGGTAAAAAGGTGAGCCTATCATCTGCCGCACCCCAAGCCTCGATCCCAATGCATTCTCAGTCACCTCGTCAAGAGCGTCAAATTCCGCCTCGTCAAGTCCTGGAGCCTGTCATCCGCCAGCCTCTTGTGGGGATAGATGTGAAGGCGTTGAATCAGGCTCAGAAAGCGCTGAAGCCCCCACATGCTTCGGGAAATGCCAAATATATGAAAGAAAATGATAGAGAACAGGATAAGGTTTGTAAAATTTATTTAACTCAAAGTAAGCTTGTGTGTGATGTGAAGAGTTAGTCTATAGTTCATTTTTTAAATCCCTAAAAGGAGCACCAAGGTAAGAGAATTGGGTAAGGATACGTATACTACAGAAGCGTATGGAAAGGCTTTAAAGTTCCTTCCGTTTATCAATCGTATGCATGCGAGGGAGACTTCATTTAGAAGTCTTGGTTTCCTTACGGGAATGACAGACCCTTATCAAATGACTATGAGTAAAGATAATGAAACATTTCATAATACAAAGGGGATATTGCATGGCTGCGCTAATGGGTACTATTTCTATCTTTTTACTGATATTATCGCTCACGAGAAAATGAAGTGAATAACTCCTAAACATCGTCGCCGCCGGTAGATAACGTTTTTATCAACAGGCAGATAAGTAATGTTCTGCTTATTTTATACAGCATATTTAAAAATGATATGGACAATCTTAGAAAATATTTCATTTGCTCGAAATACAGTGACAATATCATGTCATGGAACAGTCTTTCATTGATAACTATACAATAAATTCAGTTATCAGTGAACAAAAATTTAAAAGAATTGTTCTGAAGTTATGAAATAATGAATTTTATGCAGGAAAACCCGGATCTCGATGGGCTTTTAAAGCATGAACTTTTAGAGAAATACAAGAACGCACATCCTCGTAACACATCTGAGTTTTCCTTTGGTAAGTGAACTGAATACAGTTTAAACGAAAAGTGTAAGTTAGTAGTAATGGTTGTAGTAATATCACAGTTCAGAAGTGAAATACTGAGTGGCATTTTACGTTTTGATAAGCCCCCTTCCTTAAAAAAACTTCCCATCTGACAAGTCCCACCCTCCCTTAGGAATTCCTCTCCCTCTTATAAGCCTTCCCCCCACTAAAAAAAATTTACCCTACTAATTAGTCCCTCTTTGTCATTAGTTTGCTACTCTTCCATAAACCCCCCACCAACCCTCTTAATATTTTTATGAGATGTGCTTCAATTTATGTGGGGTTATCCGAACAAAACGACCCACTCTTCAGTAAGTAAACCCCCTCTCAATATTTTGATAAGATGTGCTTCCAATAAAGTGGAGTCATTCGCACAAAAAGTCTAAACTAGGAGAATCTCAGAGAAAACGTTCCAACATTGAATTAGCTGGGAAAGACACAGTTGCTGCATTTTTCGAAAAGAAAGTCAGTACTTTCTCGTAACCAGTGACGAATATTAGATAGCATAGGCCCCTGGGGAAGTCCATTAACAAGCGAGTTATCATTTGGGAAAAGCTTACTTTCACAAGACTAGAAAGAATAATAATGGAGACCTATTCAGTTGAGTATGATTTTGTTTCGATTGATTAAGTGGATTAAAAAAGACTATTCTATCAACGTGATGTGATACTGCACCCCTTTTACAAGTTGTGAATAGTTCAGTTCTTTTACGTCATAAAACTAAAAACACAACCTTTGCATCTTGGGGAAACGTTTCAATGTTCTACAGCGTATTCTGTCAAATTTCGTATGCAATCTTGAAAAATCTACACGAATGCGCACTGTTCGCGGTTAAGTCTTGTGACGCTATCTGATGTGGCGAATGCTGATGAACCAATCGATTTGTCGCAAAATTGAGCGAGTGCTGTAAGCCATGTGATACCTCTTAAGCAACTTGTGGAATGCTAACAGGAGGGTATTGACGCCTTGCACGATTCTCCACCAAGCTTCTCAACTTTATCAAAGTCTTAAGACTCGGCTAGGCAGAAAGTTACAGCATCCATCGTTCGGTGGTGAACACTAATGGTATCTGATAATGCAACGGTACTTAAAATCTTTTGTTGGCGGCTTAGATGTTTGCATGGTTTTTTATATGGGCGCAAAAATACGTCACCATCGCCCCGAGCTACCTTGCATAGCATTTTCAGTCTCATAATTTCCACATCTAGGACAATGATGCAACGTTTCTGGCGAACTGATAGAAAAAAATTTAAAAGCTAGGACCGCTATCGGTGGTCCACGTTGAGAGGAGTTTCATATCTTTCCGTCAGGGTGAGAAATACTTTCATCGAAAAAGTGGCATGTACAGAAAAAAAGAACAAGGTGAATAAGCAAAACATGAATCCCACTGAGAATGTCCTTCCATCTGTCACGCTATGTAACACAATACTCTAGAAAAATGCAGCCTTTTTGATAAGTAACAACAAAACCAATGTGTCCTTTCCCTAATCAACTATATTTATTACCGTCCTGTATTCTGTAAGCCTCAGTCTTTTGTCAGATTACTCTAACCGATGTGTAAACCGAGCTTCTAAAATCATTGCTAACCTTGAATTTCGTTAATTGATACAAATCTGTAAGAAGAATAAAAGGTTATGTTTAAGAACTTCTTTTTTTTTTTTCCTTTCAGAACAAACCTGGAACACAACATATGAGGACTAAATTAATCCTGACTGATAAGGATCCCTAAAATTCTTCGTTCAACACGAACAACTCGTCTGTTTTTCCGAGTATTGGTTCTATTGAAGTATTTTTGTGTTTGTGTTTGTGTGTACTCTTTAATTCATGTATAAACATCTTGATAGTGTAATATATTTTTCATAGTGGAGTGGGTTTTAAATCCAAGACATTGAAGTTTTGATTACGCAAATGGTTAAACCAAGCGCAGATAAATTGCGTTTTGTTCTGATTGGCTTAAAATATAGGTTATGAACAAAATGAATGAATAAATCGTTACACGATTTGTTTATAAACAGGCTGAAGTCAGTAAATCTGTTTAAGAAAGCAAAACAAACTCAGCTTGCGAAACAAGCACTCTTAAACAGTTTTCTTCGACAGCACCAGATTATCAAACTCGTAGTATTAGCGATAAGTGGAAAGGGGAGTTAAAAGAGGGAGGGAGAGGAGATGGGATGAAATAAAAAAATGCTAATAGCTGGTACATGTGCGAGTACGGGCAGGTAATTGTTTTGCACTTATCAACATAAATTTTTTACTCAGTGTTTTTTTCAGAAACATTTATTAGTAAATGACAACAGGGCAGTGATGACTTGAAGTGTAACCTATTACAGTCATTATCGATCCCTACCAAATCAACCGTATTGCTGAATCAGGCCTCCCCCCCATCGTACTTCTCTCAAAATACACGGCTAAGTGGACTTTCGACGAATGCTTTTAGGGTCCACTTAATGCTCTCTACCCACCCTCTACTCACAGTCACCTAAAGAAGGTTAAGTACCACGGCCTCTTTCTCCATAACAAATACACAGTCAATGTTATCGATAAAAGCCAGCGCTTTTTTTTTCAATTTGATCTAAAGATTGCGTATTAGACGAATAAACTACCGAACGGCTAGAGGTAATAGGCGTTCAGTACATAATCAAAGGGTCGTTATTTATATTAGACCTTCTTGTCTTCTTTAAACTCGTTATCCCATGAAATTGTGAAAATTTTATGGGTGATTACTTTTACCGCAGTGCCGAGTGATGTGTTGCGGCGCGCACTGTTTTATTGAGAGAAAAATAGATGTCTCTATGAGCAAAATATCTTGATAATTAGCAATATTGGATTTGACTTTCTTCCGCGATTTGTTAAGTGTCGTGAATGATTCCTATATCATAAGGAAATGGGTAATACTTGTTTTCCTTTTGAGGTGCCAATGATAAGAAGCAAGACAGTGAAGTGGAAACAATATTCAAAATCGATGGAATTAACATTTTGAACTGTTACAGGTCAATTGGTCAAAGCGAGAAACTAACATTTTCGGTCTCGATTCCTGTTAGATCTCTGAGTTTTTTTGTTTTGTTTGTTTTGTTTTTTTTTTGATCATTGCCTGCTTCATTGTGATTCGAGGTACAAATAGTCTGTCTTTACTTCTGTTTATTTGCGATTCACGCGTGATTGCTTTTTCACTAACATGTAACATCACCTTACGTATCATTCCATTAGGTGACGAAACTCTACCCTGTTGATATGTTTGCAAGTGAATGCGGCAAAGCAACTTACCAAACACCACGCTTACTAAACTTATAAGCCTCAATATACTTACATTTTATAGTAACGTATTTAATTTTAGTTGATTAAAGTAGGAAATCGGATGTGCTTGAATAGACATCGACCACGCGTCCTCAACATGGCTGTGTCATGCTTTATTTTCTTGTTTACTTTCTTTAAATGGAATAGCGATTACGTGGTTCTTATTTAATCTGATCCATTCATCTTATTGTTTTTCCCATCACGTTCGGGTTAATTTTTTTTTCCTGGCCGGCCTTCCTTCCCTCTACTCTCGAAACACATTGTTTAATTCATCACTGTGAACTGAATGCATGCTTTGTTCTTTTTCGTTCATTTTGTGTTACACCTGGAGTGAATTTTCGTAAGTCGTGTTAAAATAACTCGTTCTTTGCAATTCAAAGCTGAAACTGCCCTATTAAATACATATTTCCCCAATTTTTAGCCTAGACTGAAACAGTTGGGCCCAAAATAGAAAGCGCTGACTAGGGACTGTCAAATTTTGTTCTAAATTCGGTAACTTTGTGCTAAAAATATCGGGTTTGACAGCTCTAAACTTAGCTTATGAAATGCGTGGGATGTTGTCAACAGTTCTGATGATGATAATGCTGGAAAATTAAGCGTGAATGAAGGGAATCTAACAAGATCAGAGCCTGTAGTATTAATCTTTTTTTTTTTTTTACCAAATGCTAACACAGAGTACTCAATACAAAAACGTTTAAAAAGTAACGTGAAAAGTCGCAAACCCTAAGTGGCGTGCTTCGTTCACAAAACATTCCACAGCCAATACTTAATTAGTTGTCCTGCTTGGCAAACAACTATCTTCCAGATGTCTTCAAATCAGCCAATCGTATTATCGGAATTTTCGAGAAAATAAACGATACGGTCAAATAAGCAGTAGCCCTTTGACAGAGTAGCGACAAAGGGACGTTTCAAGCCGGTTCAAAACAAGAAGGCGTGAAACACTAAACAATCCAAGATTGGTATCGCTTTTTACAATTTCAACCAAAATGTTTTCTTTCGCTATCAGCTTTGAGATAAACTTCATGGATTCTTTAGAAACACCAGCTTTGATCGCTATTTTAGTGTTTGTGGCCATCGTTGCGGTAAAGCAGCGACATCATAGGCGTATTAGGACGTTTGTGGATAAACGTTTCAATACAAGCGCTTGTTGCTCAAAACCGATTCCTGTGGAGAATGAAGAAAAAAGTGGGAACGTAAGTGATAACTTTTAAAAGTAACGTAGCTGTTCCGTTTTTTTTTTTCTTCTGAGAAAGTTCACATTCTCAGTAAGTCCTTTTAGTGAAGCGTCCATGAAATTTCCAAAATCTGTGCAATAATTCCCTCTTTTAGAAACCGACAGACATTTCCTTTTATAATAGCTATGAGAATTAGGTGTTACATCGAGAATACGTCTATTTACTGATACGTTTCTGGCAGTGTTCTTATCACTTGTTTGTTGGTTAATGTATTAATTTTGTGCGGGGAAGTAGTTGATAACTCCATCGCGAGAGATGATCAAGCGAATTTTGCTGATTTTTGTCCCTTGGATTGAGTTTTGTTTGCTTTAAAGATAACTTAATTTCATTTCGTTTTTGATCAGTTTCTGTGCATGTATAATATCTGTAAAATGAAAGTTACAAAACTTTTGATTTCCATATTAATCTCAATTGTCAAATGTGGGATAGTCCCAGGGCCTGCGCAGCAAACTTATTTTTAGTGGGAGAGGGGAAGGAGGGCTAAAGACGAACGCGTAAGCTTCAGCCGATAAGGCAGGGGCGTGGAGCATGCTTAAAACAGGACAAGCTTTTTCAAAAACGTAGGGGGCTGAAAGCGGTCCCTGTCAGCGGGTTGGATATTGGTGAAAGGTTACCTTTGATGTGAATGTCTCTACATTTCAGTCATTTTCTTCTGACTGAACTTAGTCAAAAGTGACTTTTGCTACTCCTTTAAAAGAACACCGTGTTGCTTAGCTCCTAGATGGCCATTCTTCTGAGTTTTTAATGACGAATTTCTCTGCTTACTTTTTTAAGAATTCGCCATGGTCTGAAATTATGACAGCTTGCGTTACAGAGCTCCAGGGAATTAAAATTATTAATGACGAACAGACGAGAATTTCCCAAGAACATTCACTGTCTGAACGCTATCGACACCATCCAAAAAATCAAGAAGAGAGAAAGAACAAGTCCTCTGTGGAAAAGTTGTCCTTGCTGGGATAACAAGAAGTTCATTATTATCAAATAGCTTAAAAACGTGTAAAAACCCCAGAACACTCGGACCTCTTCGGATTTCTGAAGCTAAGTGAGAATAACCTTGTTAATAATATACATGAAAAAATTTCTCAGTTCTGATTGGTTAAGATTAATGCAGTTTTCAGTTAATTCAGTGCAGAAGAGAGTTAATTCAGTGCAGAAGAGGGTTAATTCAGTGCAAAGAAAGAAACAAACCAGACATTCTGATTGGTCAGAATGATTGGTCAATGTCAAGGTCAATGTCACTTGCAGGGTTTGAATAAATTATTTTTGCACGTGATGCGCGCGCTTTTCTTCTGCGAAGTTATGAGAAACTACCTCGTATTTTTTTCATGTATATTATTAATAGATAATCACATGATTTTCTCGTGCAATTTGGAGTAAATAAGCACCTGTAAATTTTTTCAAAGACCACAAATTGCACTCGCCCTACGGGCTCATGCAATTTTGTTAGGCTTTGAAAAAATTTACTCGTGCTTATTTATTCCAAATTGTACCCGAAATCATGTGATTACCTATATAAATTGATCTAGATTTGTAAAATATTTTACGGAAGATCTGATCTGACAGAAGATTTACTGTCGTTCCTCGTACAAATCGACAAACGTGAGAGGAGACTTAATCATACAGTAAATCTTTCCTACTGCTGATGCATCCTGAAAACAATATTCGAATACGTATTCAATTCATAGATTAGTTTTACTAGTAAAGACCCCAAGGTATGATAATTGTTTAAAAATCTATAGTTTTCGGTGCAGGGTCTGTAAAATAATCCTCATGAACATGACGAGGTGGAGAGGATGATATCAGGAAAAGTATTCACGTCAGTTGAACCTCCAGTGGTGAGCAAAAAACACGCACGGCTGACAGGTGCATCGATATTATCGAGTGAAAATTAAACGAAAGTGCGATCTATGACTTACAGTAATTATGCCCAAACTTCTTGTTAAATGGCCCGAAGAATATCGCCAAATTTTCTTACCTCTACAGGAAAACTGAATCGCATTATCTTGTGAGTAGGTGACAACCCCCCGCTCCCGCCGCGAATATGCTTTCCAAAAAGTTGTTCATTGTTTGTTTTCAATTTCGATTGTCAATGAGAACACGATATGACGCTTTTTAACGTTGCATCACATCTCAAAATAAACATAGAGAGTAATTCTAATCAAGTGGAACCGAAGAATAAATATTTTGCCTTTTTTTTTTTTTTTTTCGATTTTCCGTCGAGGTACTAACCTATGAATTTCATAAATTATTTTCGAGACAGAATGAAAATGTCCGTGATTAAATTCATGACGATATTTAGCCGATCGATGTATCACCTTTGCATTTTACCGAATGGCAAATAGAAGTATTAAATTGTGACCACATGTCTTATAAATTGCAAAGTTGGGCTTTCTAATAGACAGTCTTGTTTCTTGGCAATTGAAACCTCGGTAGAAATAAAAAGCTCCCCGTGATCATGACATGTACAAACAAGACTACAACACGTATGCCGTTTGATTATGATGTTATGAACCCTACCATTAGTATGCTTAAACAAATATCGAAAAAAAAANTCTAATACGCAGTTCAAAATATATAATCTTCATATATTTCATTGTATCTGATACGAGAGAAAGTTGTCTACTCCAATACGTGGTAAAACCTTTATCACTGAGCTAGCAGCCATTCGTGACTAACCAAACTACTCATAAAGCCAAGTAAGGCCTAGTTGCATCTGTCTTCCCCAGTCGTTCGCGGGCAACAAACTGTTTACCTTTGTTTCTACGCAACGTCACGTATCTGAAAGTTATCGAAAGGAGCTAAGCACTTTCAACAAAGCCAAGGTCGCACTAAAGGAGAAAAACTGCTGCCTTTAAACACTGAAGCTTTCTAAAAAAATGTTTGAGCGGCCATCGATGATTTGACCTGATTACTTATTTCACCCCAGTGGAGTAAAATGGAACAAACTTTAACAAAAAAGATGAAAAGTAGCCGGTTTAGTATGTGTCTCGCACAATTAAGCAAATCGTGTTATAAATATGTAGATCTACTTTCCTAACTGGTTTATGCAAATAGTTGATTTATATCTTTTCATTTGTCTTTTTCTTTTTTTTATTTTTTATTTTTGAACTGCACAGTGTTAACGCACTAGGCAATTTTCCCTTGAAAAAAAATTGATATTAGTGTTCAATTCATAGTAAATTTAACATTTCGTATTATCCCTATTCTTGATCTTCGTAAAAGCAGGAAATTATCTCCAATCGTTCTACAACCTTCAAAAGAAGTATACGTGATGTTGATTTGATTAGATGTCTTCTCAAAATAACAGAAATTATTTCCATTTGTTGAGTTCTAAAAATTTCCTAACCAATCATGATAAATTGAATAAATAAAGAAAATACGTTAAAAAACGCACAATAAGGATTTTCCGAAACTGGCTCTAAATTTAGTAACATTTGGCTAAAAATACTTTGTGTTCTTAAAATAGCTCGTAATAGAGCGCGGGGTGTGTTGATTCAAGGATTGCGTTGGCGGCGCTTGGGAAATGGTAAAGACCTTGAAAAGAGAACAGTCTTATATCATGACAAGTGCCATTAGAAAAACTTTCATTTCTTACCCCGATTTTTTTCCCAAGTTAAAAAGAAAATTCACCAATGATTTTTTTAGTGGCTTTTCACCATATTTCGCTCTTAAAACAGTCGATTTTGTTCTTAGGTGAAACTACCAACTTTCAGATGTCTTTCAGTCAGCCAATCATATTGAAGCTAGTTTGGGAAAATGACTGATAACGTCAAATAAGTAGTTTTTTCTTGTCAGAATTTTAATACTCAAAAAGAGAAGCACCCATTTGAGTGAAAGACTTACGTGAGAAACTTAGTAAATCAAACTCAAGAAAAGAATTGACTATCACGAGCAAGCCGTGGAACTGAGAAAAAATGTCCTGTTCTGTTACCATTACCTTTGAATTTCAGTACAAAAGCGCTTTTGAACCAGCAAGCTTGCTCGCGGTAGTTTTGGCTGTTGCTGTTTTCATGGTAATTCGTGGCTGCGCTTCATTTCCCAAGGCGCTCGATTTTAAAGCATTTGATCCTTGCTACGACAAAAGACCCATTCAGGAGGAAAATCGAGAGGATAACAAAAAGGTAGAAGATATTTTTATTGACTAGAATCCTCTTTAATCAAGCGTTGATTAGTTTCTTCAATGAGTCTGTTTTTGTATTTTGTTTGTTTTTCTTTGCTGATGCGGCAGATAGCGCATAACCTGTTTAGAAGGAAGAGGTTATTGAACACCTTACTTTTTCACAATAGTCTTGTCTTGGCGATTGCCTTTTTTTTAACCTTGTGATATAAATGTCGCGACGATAATACAGTTGTGCAAAAAATTTCTTGGCAACGAAAGACGGCTTCGTGGTAGTTTTTACAAAATTTAGTCTTTATCGGCGAAAAATCAGTTGTGAGTGATATTTTTTTGAGAGAAAAAACTGAAAAAACACTATGATCAACATAGAAACAAGCCGTATCATAGACGATGTGTTTGCAGTCTTGTGTAGGGATTATGTTTCACCTTTTCGTTGCCAGGATCTCAACTGAAATTCTCCTTACTGTCTGCCATTCATTTCTTACCATGTACATTCTAAGAATTTGCCCTTTGATCAAATGATATCCTTTAGTTGGCATGATCCTTTTTTTTTCCCCATTACCGGTTTGCATGGTACTTAATTCGTATTACAAAGAGAATTAACTTCAAGGTCATGCACACTTAGGAGTAAAAAGTTTAACTGTGATGTATATCTTTCCTTCCCTCAAGACATCATCGTGTCGAATCACGACGACCTTCTCTGCTGGCCCCAAAGAAATGAACATCGAAAACAAAAGCCAAGAAAGTATTTCTGAAGATTACAAGCGCATTCGGAGAGAAAGCATGGCCAGCCTAGGAAGAAGCAAAAATCTATGGTTACCTGTCTGACATGCAATAGCTGAAACTTTCTCATCGCGTGCTTATAAAACCTTCAGGGATTCATGCTGCTGCGGCTATGACTAAAAAATTGTATGCTTAATAGTTGTAATTTAACGCTTCTTGCTGAACCAACGGTCTTAATTGTTTTGTAGACGAAAAAAACATTTTTAATTGAAATTAAGTAAAAATAATGGACAATTCAGTTAGTGGCATCATCAACGTCGGAACATTTTTTTTTTCTTTTTGGTTCGGGCTTGTGTCCTTCAAATGTTTCGGTCAACTGAACTTTGTTTTTTTTAGAACAGCTGACGGCAAAAAAAAAAAACAAGGGAGAATTTTGGAAAGTTTCCCCCACAAGAGTCTTCTTCCAAAGGTGATCATTCTTTTCTGTAATCAAGTGGCAAAGAGTCGCATCTCTTGTAATATATATAGTCAGTTCAAACAAGACGTTTATCTCAAAGGCAAAAAGTTCGATTTTTACTATTTAAGTCTAGCTTAGTCATTATGGTGATGCGTATAACTCGAGCGTTGCAAAGATGTTTTTGCGAAAAATATGCCGAAGTCCCTTGGGTTATCCCCTTGAGAAAAATACACGGCTCAAGATTTGCTATCTATTAATCTCCCATCGATTTTTGAAATACTGTTAATCCTCTAATAAGCCCCCCTATAATGAACCACCCCCTCTAACAAGTCCCCCCCTTTTTTAAAGGAAGGAAATTTTTAAGCCCCCCTCTTTATAGGAAGGAAATTATTAAGTCCTTCCTCCATTAAGCCCCCTCCCCAATCCGTCCCCCTCAAAAAAATTCAAAATAACACTCCATGTCAGTAGGTACGATAAATTTATTCAAGTGCTGTAATTAAAAAAAATAAGAAATGTTAAATGAGAACAACTTTTTGAATAAATACGGTACATCATATCCTATTGTATCCCGGAAGTGAACATCGGGCTAAATTGATAACACCCCCCTCTATTGAGCTCCCTCCCCCTCTAACAAGCTTCCTCCCCAAAGAACTTGAAATAAAATATTCTCCCCCTCCCCCCTCCCCTTATTTGAGGATTTACGATAGGTATTGAAAATGCCTCTGGGGAAGAAATCCCGGCGCCCAAAATAAGAAAACTCGTTTATCACCGTTAATTACAATTACTTACGCATCACAATCCGCAAACAACTCGGGCGCTCACAAACCTTCAGTGACACTGTCCTAAGACTTGGGCCTTCTGAGGAAAAGGTGTCTTAGCTTGATCCTCTCTTCCAACAAACATTATAACGTAACCAAAGTAAAGCGCACGCTCTGATTGGTCAATTCAGCGTCCACCATTTGGCTATGGGTGACGTGGCAAATCAAAGGGAGCTCTTTTGCTACAATGTATCAATGTCATGCTATAAAACAAATGGTAAACACCACAGCGCACACTGTTGAGTTAGAGATGCACTTGGGAGGTTGCTAAGCACTTAAGAAGCTAGAGTTGCTCTCAGCTATCGCCTCGCGCGACTCTTACGCTTCTTTCGTGCTTAGCAACCTCCCGCGTGCATCCATAACTCAATAGTGTACGCTGTGGAACCTACGCTGTGGTGTTTACCATTTGTTAAGTATTCAGGATGCTTGGCACATATAAACCCAACATGTGGCCTTGATACACCACTTTGGTTCAATGAGAGAACATAGGAAAGCACAGTTTAAAGGTTCTGGGGTTCAATTGTTCTTGAAGCACTCAAATATTTCCTCTTCCGGCACTCGTTATATGAAGTAGGCGTTTTTCCATATTTGGTAGATTAGTTTGCGATTAGCAAAGCAAAATATCCGAGCCAATATGGTAATTTCAGCTGTTCCTGAGGGAGGATAAAATTCTAGAAACATTTAGGGATTTATCAGCTCTTGGCATATTTCGAGAAAAGTCATTATTATTCAAACCAAAGTAACTACGTATGCGTAGCGTTGGTTCCTTGGAAACGGCAGCAGTGTAAGCTGTTTCGCTCCTTTTAGAGCTCGTCAGCACTGCATAGCCAACCTCTCATTATAGACACAAGTTCTTTGTAATGAGATATCATAACTTCGAAGGTGGACTAAAGTGTTTTAAACCCCAGTCACCACATTACAACTGTGGGACCTGCTACGATGTTAGCATGACGTAGGAATAAGAAAAGTGTCTTCAACAGTACATCGAGAGATTTTGGTTGCATCCCACCTCGGTCATCAATGGATATCAAGGGTCCCAATAACTCGGTCATCTGTGTCTGTCTCCAGCATGGAGAAGACATTACCAAATAGAAGCAACTACGCATGCCCAGCGTTGGTTCCTTGGAAGCGGCAGCAGTGGAAAGCTGTTTCGCTCTTTTTAGAGCTCGTCAGCGCTGCATAGCCAACCTCTCATTAAAGACCCAAGTTCTTTCTAAGGAGAGGTCATAACTTCTAATGTGGACTAAAGTGTTTTAAACCCCAGTCACCACATTACAAATGTGGGACCTGCTGCGACGTTAGCATGACGTAGGTAAAAGAAAAGTTATTCAAACCGTAAGCTGTTTATTTGAGGCTTCAGAGCTCCTTCTGAATCCATTTTGCATGAGATTTAAGGTAGCTAAGATTGCCACCTTAAATATGCCCACATTTTTTCAAGCATATCGATCTCAATGAAAAGTTATGAGCAGAAAAACAAAAATTGAAGGACGTTTTCACATTAACCAGTATTAAGTAAATCTAGCAAGTACACATCTAGAGAACAGTCATAGCTTCACCTGCTTTCATATTGCTCCCTAATTTGTAATCAGTCAATGCTTTATATCGAGGAACTCGTACAGTAAACATAAGTTGTGTATATGCACCTCTTTGGGTCCAATTCAAGGATTTCTCTAGCTCTCCAGTTTGCTTCTTTTTCAAAATTTTTCTCCGTTTTTTGAATTTCTATGGAAATGACTTCCATGACCAAAATTCATTCCCTCATTTAGTATGTTATTTTGCACATTTCTGAACTTGCCGCTTAACGTTGCAGATGGCAATAAAAATGACGAAAGTAACGTAATTTTTTTATCTTGATGGCAAATTTGTTAGATTCTTGGTCAACTTGCGTTGCATTTTCATTATCTAGAAAACAAAACATGACTTTCTCTTTTTCAAACGAAACTAAAATATATTCATATTAACTTTCAACTCGCCCAGTTTGAAAACATCTTTACCTTCAAAGACATGGGGCCGGCTTTTCGAGTTTGAATTATGAAGAAGACACCATGGAATTAACCAGGAAATGATGTGTTGTGTTTGTAATGAGGGCTTTTTCAAAATTTCTTCTTTTGTGTAACCTCAAAGTACCAACGGTAAAGTAGTGTTGTAATCCATGATATACAAGTTACCTGATATTTCATGGGTATGGTAATAACTTTGAGAAAAATTTAATTTGAAAACTATTTGCATAGCGGATGAAAATTGTCACTCTTATTTATTTTATTTATTTCCCTCCACAATTCTAAAATAAGCTTTAAACCTCTTAAGACTCGGTTTTACGGCAACTGAACACAACATGATTGATATTTTGTATTTTATAATCATTCATTAGTTGGTTACGTCCTGGCACGGGATCGCCGGTTTATTCCTTTATCTAGTTTTCCCGGCTTTACTTAACTGAAAACCTGTCGAACTGGAGCTTTTTCCACTCTTTCTCCTGTTTGCCAAAGGCTTACAGCGGAGGAGTTTTAAACGAAAAATTAATTTGAATCCATCTCGAAAATTTGAACTTTGTAAAGCATACAATAAAGGATTTAAAAACGAATTTGTGAAGAGAACAAATCTAGAAATTCTGTGAAATAAATACAATGTGTCGTAATTGTCCTTTACAGTTCTAACATCAACGAAGCTAAGAAACATAAAGTAAATTGCAAATGGCAGAGAACAGGTAGCGAATACAAATGTCAACCAGATAAGAAGGCTACCTAGTTGTTTTTTTGCTTGCCGTTCAGCCTCCGTTACCGTTGATTCCGAGAAAACTGTTTTTGTGAAATATATTCCACGGATGATTGAAAAATAGCAGAGGAAGACTATCAGGGAGCTAATAATTCCGAACCAAACACAAGTAAAGATGATGAAGGGTTTGTGAAGAAAATATTCATCCAAACTCCAAGGACGCTTGCAAGGATATTTGGATGACGAGATATTGTACGTATTGGCTTGAATATCTGGGATGCATGAGATTAAGGCAAGCAACCACAGCACTGCTATCACATGTTTCACTTTATCTTTGTCTATTCTTAGATTAGCGCGGAAAGGTTTGAGAAGCGCTAGATACCTTTCCACGGCGATCGTACAAACCGAAAGAACGGCGGCGTTGATGGTGATCGGAACAATTGCATTTCCCGCAAACAGTTTGCAGATTAAATCCCCAGTGAATCCTTCTAAGTCAACGTGCACCAGAGCTAAATCGTATGGACCAGGACAGAGGAGCAATGTCAATAAATCGGCCACGGCTAAGTTTAAGAGGAGATAGTTCGTGGTCGTGTGCATTGAAGGCGTTTTTCGCACTATGGTAATCACGATAGCATTACCTATTACCCCTGGAACGGCAATAATTGAGTACAGCACTGCAAAAATAATGTCCCGAGTTGTGATGAAGGTCGCCGCCGAATGACGATGAGAATATTCTTCTGTGATGTTGATTTCCATTGCTTTTGCCTTTCAAGTCCTTATTTTATATTCGCCTCGGCAGCGTCTTCAAAAATTGTTGTTGAGATCGCAATTCGAATTTTTGGATAGTTTTCCTTTTTTTTTTTTTTACAATTGTTTTCGATGACTTTGAAGTTTTATGTCTCTAAATTTAGAGAGAAAACGACACCCCATTGAATTACTGAAGTGGCACACCGGCTGCTTAGCACATCAACCCATAGTGGTGTAAGTAATTTAGCCAAGAAGGGAAATCACACGTGACTGTTGCCGCGTCGAATTATAACGAATCAGAGCAATATGAGAAAATAGATATTACTGTGTAGGGTGTTGGGAACGAATAAATCATAATTAAAGGGCCTTATGACAAAAGCAATATGGAAAAACATCTGTGTAACCGTTAAACTTATCATTTAACACATTTTTCACAACAAACCACAATGAATTTCAGCCGGCATGATTGACCATAATGCCTATAAGAGCAGAATGGTGCCGTAAATGTGTTGTTTGATACTCTGCTGTTCAAATACCTGAGGTAAAACTCACTTCCGCCAAATTTTGACTCACGAACTAAGTTGTAAAAATCTCCTTCACGTTGTCTGCGTCAAAAGATTGGCTTAATGCGCCGATCAATTCGAAACTTCAATAGCGAGATTTAGCACCGCACTTTCGTGAAACGGCAAACGTTAGCTTTCCCTTTCACGTTTCATGTAAAATAGCGTCAACCTTACTGCTTTAGCTTCGCGTGAGCTCACGTCATGGTGGATTTGAAAGCGCCCTTGTGTGACTCACAAGGAATAGTTTTGGCGCACTTTTTCCAGCTACTGACTTCTAGTCTGTGAGAGAAAAAGTGAAGAAAGTTTAACGTACTCGGCAAACGCAAAACAGGTTACTTTCACGTACAGACGGCATAGTGCAACCGGCAAACGTGAAAAAATGGCGGGAAAAACATGGTTTCGTGGTCACTCTTGCCGTTCATGTTTCATGTAAACGCGGTGCTAAATTTCTCTAATATCCCTCCCCCGCGCGCCACGTCACGTCACGGGTATTTAACCGTCGTCCGCACCCGGTGGGAAAAATATAAACTTTGCCAGGCTGGGGTGGGGAATTTGCACCGTAGTGTCAAGTCTTTCCAGTGGAATACAAGTGTTGCATCTTTTCAATATTTAAAAATATTGAGGTGTTTATGGTAAATAATTAGTTTTCGCGAGCGAATGGCTCGGAAGAAGAGCTCAACGTGTAGAAAGTCACAGTCGGGGATTTTTCCTTTTGCAAAAAAATTGGGTGGGGCATTTGAACACAATTTTTGCCCCGGGGAAGGTAATTTGAACAGACCAATCTTCTAAAGTTCAAATGCCCCTGTGGGGATGCACTGGGAGGATGTTGAAGCTTCGAATTGATCGACGCATAACCTCGACTTCTGAATACGATTTGAAAAAAGTTTCTCTGACAAGAAATTATACTGTCTCTGGCCAACCTTGTAGTCAACTTCAGGAAGGGAGCTGGACCAAGGTTGGGGGGGGGGAGGAATCAATCATGCCGTTTTTACTAAACACCCGTGGGTCTCGGAGGACAGGTGTTAAAAAGATAAACTTAAAGAAATGGTAGCAAATTGCACAACACCTTTCATAAACGCTGTACCATAAATGAATAAAACGTAAGCTTCGTAAAAACACCAGATTCACTGAGCCAAGTCTGAAATTAACGCCGTAGGTGTTTTATCAAGATATGTGGTATTCTGAGTAACTCCAGTGTAGACTGCATCAGTTTTCAGAGTGGTCTTATGATGTAAAGAAAACTAAGAAGACTAAGGTCCATCATGCTTATATACGTGTTGGGTGTAGCAGGAATGCTAGAAATGAGGCATGTGTCATAAACAGTAAGATGCCTCCTTTCCACGATTTCAAATCTCAAAGGTCAACGGTCTCAAAGGAAGCCATGTCTCAAAGGTCAAAGGTCGATTTCAAATCTCAAAGGTCGACTCGCGACAGAAAAACAAATACGACGGAGAGAACTTTCGTAGCAACTATTCTTCTTCGAATTTTTTTTTTTTTTTTTTTGCGTTGAACCACAACCTATTATTGTGTCTGTTCATTGTTTCGTTTGATTAGCAGCACTTCTCAGCATACAATTTGCTACTCTTAGTTACATGTAGTGATAAGGATAACCTCAGGTGGCTCAAGATTTGCAGGTACGGTGACACTGAAGTGAATTTAGAATTACTGTCATGTGATATAGTTTAGTCACCTAAGGAGAAAGAGTTCGGCCCAAGAAAAAAAAAACCGGTATAAGAGAAAATCGCGATGAAACTCGGTGTAATAAATTTTTGTGGTTTGCGGTAAACCATATCATTTAGGTTTTCATAACACTACCCTGTTTCTACAGATTGTTATTTTTTCCAGCTGCCCACGTTATCTACGTTATCCTGAAATCACCCGCTTTTTTTTTCGCACAGTGGTGATCAAAAATAAAATCTTTCATAATATTATTTTATCTATTTATTTATTTTGCAAGATCCGAGATAGATAAGTGATAGTACCGGAAAAAAACAGGGTTCTTAGTTTTTTCGGGAGAAAAGGGTATCACTAAACGATTATCCAGAGTTAAATGTACAGAACTGCAGAAAGATGTTTCACGTAATCACTAATCTATCTTACCACTTAATCGGGTTACCTTATAATTTGCATTTAAAAGGATGTGAGTAAACTATCCTAATTTTTATTTTTTTAGTGGTTTGACACAGAAAACATTTGAGTTTGTAATTCCATAACCAAACAACCCAGTAAATGCAACCAATGTTCAACAGGAAATGAGGGATTTATCACGATTTATTTTCCGGTAGTCCGCTACAGAAAAGAAACATCTAATTTCAGGCGATTTTCGTTTAACACCTTTCTGTCTGGTAGAAAGCTATGTGTTATCTGTGCACTAAGTAACGCCACTCCAGACCTGAAGGGTGCAATATTCGTTAAATAGATCAATAATGTCGTTTCCTGTAATTTTTATTACTTCTTAAATAATCTTAGCGGAAATTTGTTCTAAGATGTCGGAAGAATGAAAAGAGTCCAATTAACTTTTTAAATGGACTTTTTTTACTCTGTTCTTCTCTCAGAATAGAACAGTTGCGTTAGCAACGATGGTTTCAACGACTAAGATTTTGGCTCATTGCCTTGTGATTTATGAGGGCATTTATTTTGTAATACAAATAAGGAAACATTCAGGCTCGCGGTGCCTGGTACGTTTTTGCCACGGTGCGTTAGGCCGAGTGTAATTTCATTGAGGCTAAAAAGCTATGAAACACCAAACAAAAGCGTAACTGTTGAACTTAAATGTTGCCTTGTTACTAATTGTTTTTATGGACACCTGTCGTACTTATCGCCGGCTCATCAAACGCTGCAATTAATTATCATTTTGGTCGAGCTTCTATGTATTAAAGTCGTTTAGAACTTGACTCAAAACTGCTTCAAGATTCATTCATCGCTGAGACGGAACAGGACGGAGGAATTTTCTTAACAACAACCGCCTAAAAACTCTTTTTTTCATAGTTCTAAGCTGAGTCTTCGGAGCTTGTAGTCTGAGCGGATCATAAGCTAACGTGGTTTGTGGTTTTCCGATCTTTTTTACGATGGATGAAAGCTATTCAAATAGATCCCAAGAACATTTAAAAACAACCTCACAAGACATCGTTTTTGCCACATTATATTCGTTCATGGTGTTTTTTGGCGTGTTGGGTAATGGTGTAGTGATTGCTATCGTACGCAAAACGCCTTCGATGCGCACGACAACGAATTATCTTCTGCTAAACTTAGCTGTGGCCGATTTATTGACGTTACTTCTTTGTCCCGCTATTTATGACTTTGCTTTGAATCATTCGAGGATGAACTCCACACTGGGTGATATCGTCTGCAAACTCTTTGCTGGAAATGCCGTCGTTTGCATCACATTCGATGCGTCCGTGTTGACTCTGTGCGTTATCGCCGTGGAGCGCTATGTGGCAATTGTCAAACCTTTTAAAAGTAGCAGTTGGAACATTTCTTCCAAGAACACGAATTTAGTCACTGTCGTGATTTGGGTACTGTCGTTCATTTTGAGTTTCCCGGACAGCTTGTGGACGATGTACAAGAAGGATCCCAGTTCGAGTTATCCATGCACTCGCCCATGGACGCTGGAACACGGGTCGACTGTTAAGGCCTATATTATCACGCACTGTCTGGTCATGATTGTATTTCCCTCCATTTTGATTTCATTTTGCTATCTCTCGATTCTTAAAGTGCTCAAGTGGGACTTGTCAGACCCAGGGATAGACGAAGCCGAAAAGAACAGTATGAAAAGGCTTTTAAAGCTTCTTGTCTCTTTAGCGGTGGCATTTTGCGCGCTCTGTTTGCCGTTTGCGTGCTTCTTTATGTATGTTTCCGCGATCACGGACGCTCAAATTAAGCAAGATTTCGCACAATTGTTTCTCGCACACAGAATTGTTCGGGTACTGATATTTTTTAATTCTTTCATAAATCCGCTGTTGTATGCCGCACAGAGCGCAAATTACAGAAAGGCAATGGATGAAATTTGCTGCCGCACTAAAGTGGTCGATTCAAGGCGCAGATCCATGAAACTGGCGGAAAGAACCTCACCCACTGGAATTGGAGAGACAGTCCTAGTACAGAGACTCTGACAGCTGCATCTGTGTGAAGGATTGATAACAAACCAGATGCAGAATTGAATGACGAGTTAAGTGACAACTAAAAAAAAAACAATCAAAGAAAGCATTATTCGCTTGTCATGAACTTTTTTTAAATTTCGAAGTGATTAATTTCATCGATAGAAACTATGGAATGAAATAGCCCGGAACAACTTTTTCAAAATGCCCATAAATATAAGCAATTCAGATCGCTTTTAAGTGTTCAGATATATCGATATCATTTGCATTGATTTTATTTGACCATACACTTTCTTTGTCTCCGACGGAGAAACACGTATTTCACTAACTGCTGTTTTGCAATGGCTACAGTGATGAAAGAGACTTAGATTCAGCATGACGTTTTTCGCACAAATTGGTCAACTAGTCCTTCCCTCTGCTTTCAGTCGTATGAGCACTAATAACTAAAAAGTGAGTAAAAAATAATGATATAAAAAGTGAGTAGAATCAGAGTTCGTTTCAGGCTTTAGCCATTCCTACGAACGTTACAGTGCCGAGAATATCATTTTTAAACTCACTGATACTTGATCCAGATAACAGCGGGTAACTAGAGCCGTGGGACTGAGGAGATAAATCTATCAAAACCGCAATTATGATGACGGAGTTTCTGTTTAAGATAACGATTCCTTGAAGTTAATCCATGTTTGAAAAATCGATATCACACTGAATGCACAATATGTATGCACTACATGCTTTACTCGACTAAAAAAGAAAATAAATCAAAAAGTTTCTTTAATTACCAAGTCTTTCCTCGGACTAATTAGCAATGTCGAACGTTTCTTGTGTCTAAAAGAAGAAGGATGAGTTAAGTGTGCGATAAGAATTGATTATCAATCGAATATCAATCGAATATTTTAATAAATCACCAATAAAATAACGGCAAAAGTGACCAATCAGCTCTCAAGAACAAGGCGTAGTTAAAAAGCGATTGGCCGATACCTTTTCCGTAATTCTCAGCCACGAGACTCGACAAGGCTTACTATGAATAATGATTGATCCTCCAACAAAGTTTAGTCGTTCCACTTCCAAATCGAGTTTGCTGGTGTTACTACAAATTTGTAATCATCTCTTGAGAGGAATCTATTCTATGAATGTAGTTGTTTTTGTAAATGAAAAAATTGAACTGAGTCCCAGACCATACTGTGGTCTGCCGTATATCAAATAAATAAAATCTACAAAAGCGACTTGATCATTAACTTCAAACTTTCTCCAATGAAAGAAAACAACTTTTCTTTGCACTCCGGAAAAAGCTCATGATTTCGTAAATTGACTATATAGGAAAGTGGTCTGTGAGTTTGAGATATGATAACTTTAAGTGAAATAGACACCTCAGTGACATAATACAACTTTAAAGGCAAAATTGTCGCTTTATCAACTCGAATTCGAAATAAGATCCAGATGGTTTTCGTTTGACTCAGCCTCATTGAAAAAAAAGCTGGTAGGATTTGAATAAAACTGACTACTAACAGCGCAGATCTTTGGTCAACATTTAAACGTGTCTTTTTTTCCGATTATCGCCAATCTTGTTTATCTAATGGTTCAACGATTTCGAAAAGCGGTTAAAACGCTATATTTGTCGCAGAAGGTAAAAGATTAGAATAACACGACAATTGCGCATTTTTGGAAATTAACATATGCGTTGTGCGACCAGTTCCAATTATCGCCTGGCGCCGTTTAGCAGGCTTAAAAAGCATATTGTAGTTAAAGTGGGTTAAAAATTTAAACAGCATAAGAGCGGAACAGTTCCTACAAATTAAACGTATTCATTGTTCAACCTCTGCCAGCTATCACCAGCTGTTTCCAGAAACGGTTCAAAGACAATTTTAGTCACATGAGACAGAAACTGAATGGCACGAATATATTCCTGTGGAGCTATTTGATAATTGAAATGCCATCTCAGAAATAAATTGTTATGACCATTTTTTGCATCTTTAATAGACAACATGTCGGTGTAAATCTTTTTCTTGTAACGGAAAATTTCGCTGACATTTGAATGCCTCAGAACAGTGCCTATCAGAGCCGGCCAAGATCACATTTGTTTTAAGAGTTTCTCCCACTAAGGAACGTACCTTTGAAGCTAATACCGTACAACCAACTATCAAAAAAGATACTGTAACTATCAAACGTCAATTCAAAGCTCCCAAATTTGTTTCGTGAAATAAAATGCTTTCAATTTAAACTGTCATTTGGAATGTTTAGACCCATTCTTTGGTTTTATTAGTTTCTTTAGAGTAAACATCTGTCAATTGCAAGTAAGCAAACGGGTTGGTATCACGAAAGTACAGCGAGAAAGAAGAAAACGAGAGAAATGGGAGGTAACAACAAAAAGGACCAACAATCATCAGCTGGCACCCGGCACAGCACAAGACGTTCTTTTAGCGACTTTTTACACATTCATTGCTGTTTTCGGTGTTGTCAGTGATGCTATCGTGATAACCATAGTGCGAAGAACGCTTTCAATGCACACATCAACAAACTATCTTCTCTTGAAATTAGCTGTGGCTGATCTCCTGACTTTCATTCTGTGTCCTGGGATGTGCAGTACGACTTTGCTTTATCTAACGTCAACCTGCAGCTGAAAGGGATTACGGGGGATTTGATCCGCAAGTTGTTTGTGGGAAATGCTGTTGTTCCAATCACCATCAATGTCGCCGTCCTAAATGTCTGTACGATTGCTGTGTAGCGGTATTTGGCTCTTCTAAAGCCTTTTAAAGTCAACTCGAGGATGTATCAAGATCAAGTAAAATATATGAGTTCCGTGCTGTGGTTGCTTGCCCGGCTATCCTGTATCCCATATATTCAAGCCAATACATACAACATCTCGTCTTCCACGTATCCGTGCAAACGCCCTCGGAGTTTAGACGAGTATTTCCTTCACAAGTCCTTCATTACATTCAGTGTTGTTTGTTTTGGCTTTGTTAGTTCTATGATAATGTTTATCTGTTACTTTGAAATCATCCGTGGATTGTACTTTACGAACACAATTTGCTCTAAGTCATCGGACACAGAAGCAGACAGAAAAACAAAGAAGCAGCTAGCTCAGTCGACCTCTGATCTGGCTGGCTGTTGCCTTTTCCTTCTGTTCACTGCCATTTCATATATATTTCCTCTTACTTATTTCCTTGGATAATGAAACGGTCCAAAAAAACTGCAGCACATTGAATTGGATTCACAAAGCATCACTCTTTCTACTTTTTTCTAATTCTTTCCTAAATCCTATTTTGTATACGCTACAAACCTCGAACTATCGTGATGGATGTAAATTGATTTTAGCTCCAGGTTGATTTGCCGCAATTCTTTGGTAACAAATTCTACACAAGGCCTTACTAATTGGTGTACAGCATCGAGGAGCACACTGGCAACATTACACAGCAAAGAACATTTCGTAATAAATGTCAAGTTGAGTGAAAGAGAACAATTATTCTTCGGGAAAATTACAATCGAAACTCTGGTGATTAAGTAACCAAAGTCAAGCTTCTGTGACGCTTTTCCCCCCGGTTCGTGGTCACCTCCGGGAATTTGCATCTACTCACCAGTTTCAATTCTTGACAATTATCATAGCTGAACATTTGGGTAAATAAGGCAAAATATGTTACCTAATTATTCCCCTCTATACGATCATTACTGCGCTGCCTCATGAATACCAATTTACACAGTGATATCGGAGAAGGGCATTTTATTTTACTAACTAAGTTGTTAATCACGAATGATTTTTAACAGTTAAATATGAAGATATTCAAATCAATTTTCACATCATCAGTTTGCTGTTGTAACAAGGCAAAGCAAGAATTAAGTAGACTGTTATCAAACTGTTCACAGATGAGTGTAAATCGTGACGCATTTGACCAGCCTTCTAATGGGTGTAATAAATAAAATAGCAGGGTCCCAGAAATGCTATCATGAATTTCTCAAGATCGTGAATTTTGCAGAATTGTCCCCAGCAAAAGGCGCAAAAGTGGATTGAAGCGGTAAAATTTGGCGAATTGGTGCCAAAAGTCCCCACATTTATGTCGATCTAGCCTGAAAAAAAAATTGCGCAGGATAGGAACGATAATTTACTGCTTTGGGAATACAATGAAGTTTCGTGCATTTTACGTGTTTTGCCTAATATAGGTCCGCTGGTGTTTCAAAGATATTACAAAATCCTGTTACGGGACTGTCTGAAGCGCATTTCTCGCCTGATTCGTTCGACTAATATACTGATCAGAACACAAAATTTCTCTACCCCTTATTAAACATGACAGTTAAAATAATTTTCCCACTTCGCTATTTTCCTCGCCATAACTATACTTTTATCAGCACTGACATGGTCTTGCTAAAAGATCGTGATCGGATTGCCCAAGGAAGAGAATAAATACACAACCCGACCCAAATCTCCCTAGTTTTTCCACCTCATCCTCTACTACTGCACCGTCTTATGTCGTGCTAAAAAGAAAGGTTAGAGCTGGTTGCCCAATAAACCTCTAGGATACACGTCATCCAGATAAACATCTTGCTGTCAGTCTCTGTGAAGAGAAGTGAAATAAAGTAACTTCACATCTATTGGGACTACCCAAAGTTTAAAAAGTAGAAAAAATGACAAAAGAATCAGTGACTAATTCTTCAGTATGAGATAAAAATTCATGGAATATTCGCAGTGTAAGCCGATCTGCAACACCTTTGCTCCCAGTAAATTATGCCATTTTTAATGTGAATAAAAATAATCATTTTTTATCCTAATTAAAATTAGTATAGCTAGCGACTTAACTCTGTGCCGAAAAAAAGCCGTTTGTCAGCTAGTGGTTTATTCACTAGAAATCGTTCTAAAAGATAAAGAACGTGTCGAATAATGATATATTGCGATGACTCTTGAGAACTTTTATCGCGATTTACCGGTGCTATGGTGAGCAATCATCTTTTCTTAAATATGAGGGTCTCCGCGGGGTTAACTGATAATTATTTAACTGCAAAAAAAAATTAGCCGTTTTACCCTTAAAATTCTCCTTTTTAAAAACAATGGAAAGAAATTAACCGTAAGCCGTAAAATGGCCAAAATTTTAGCCATTAATCGTAAAAACCATCGTCATACTGAGACTCTTACATGTCAAAACATATTGCTCAATTATTCGGTGGGAATTTAAAGCCAATAAGACTGGGGAAGTGTAAGAATGGAATAAATGACATCCAGACAAATTAAAATGCACAACTACCACGCTATTCTGTATTCTTATAATCAAGAGTTCGAGAGACTTTCCGACTCACTTGTTGGCAACCTCTTCCTTACCACAATTCATTTCAAATGCTGCTGCAGGAATTGTTAAAGAATCCGCATGATATCGGTTTTGCGGTGAACTAAACGCAAGGTATGACTAAAAAACATTTAAAACCCGTGCATGCTGGATGAAATTTCCAATGGTTTAATTAAGACTGATAATTGATCAGAGGAAGCTAACGCAGGTTTTATTTTCAGAATGAACGAAAGCAACATCAACGCCTCTCTACTCATTACTACTCATGACATCGTTTTTGCAACGTTGTACTCGTTTATTGTGTTTTTTGGCGTCATAACGAATGGCATGATCGTATCTATTGTACGGAAAACGCGAACCATGCACACAACAACAAACTACCTGTTGATGAACTTGGCTGTAGCCGATTTCCTAACGTTATTATTTTGTCCGGGTTTCTACGACTTTGCATTACACAATCTTCGATTGGGCTCTGACAGATTGGATGACATCTTTTGCAAGTTTATTGCAGGAAATGCAATCGTTTGTGTCTCTTTCGATGCCTCTGTGTTGACTCTGTGTACCATTGCGGTGGAGCGCTACCTCGGTATTGTTAAACCTTTTCACAAACGTTGGGTGATGACGAAAAAGAAAGTGAACTTTATTATTGTGGTTATTTGGGTGACAGCTGCTTTTTCAAGCCTTCCCGATATACTGTGGACGAAGGAAAATAACGAAGACGTTCTGTCGCCATGGCGGTATCCATGCACGCGTCCCTGGACAGTTACGCACCAGAAATTGAACGTCAAAGCTTACATCCTTGGTCATTCTGTCGCTTTAATCGTTCTGCCTTCAGTCTTGCTTTGTTTTTGCTATATTTCGAGTTCCGCAGCGCTCAAATCAAGCGCAGGTAAACCGGATGAAGATCCCGCTAGCAAACGGAACATGGAAAGACTCTTAAAGCTTCTTATCTCGTTAGCTTTGGCATTTTGCACACTCTGTCTGCCATTTGCGGTTTTCTTTTTCTATGTCACTGCACTCGCCCCAAACCATTTAGAGCAAAGTTTTAAAACGTTGTATCTGACACACAGAATCGTTCGTTTTTTGACATTTTCCAACTCATTCGTAAACCCCCTTCTTTACGCTGCTCAAAGCAAAAACTACAGAGAAGTTCTGTTTCAGAAACTTTGCCCCAAAAACAACGCACGTAACACAGAAAACGATGCTGCAGTCAGAGCCAGAGAGGAGAAACATAGAATATATTACGAAACAGCCGTGTGAAACAATTGTAACAATAAAGAAAGGTCAGTGACACATTTGTCACGAGCGTGTTTCGTAGAAAACATCTTTATTCTTGCTTGACGAACAGAAAGAAAGACGGAGAAGGAAAACGGAATCCGAAGGCGATTCGAAACCTATTCGCCGAACCGTTTCGACTTCATAATTAAAGGTTCTGGAAGATGAATAAACTGTAACTTATAAACTGTAACCTGTTTAGGGTGTGTTGAGTCATAGACTAAGCCCACATGTGAAAAGGGACCTTCTTATTCTTAAGATCAACAATCGGTCAAAGGCATTCTATGAGGATAGTGAAGAATATGGTTCATTTTGAACTCAGTCGCAAGTATACGCCTGATGTTTTTGAAGCGAACTGAATATACCTCTGTAATTTGGTTTTATCAACTAAACTGAAATTGTAAATTGGCCACCTTAAAGAGTTAAAAAGCTGACATCTTGAGTGTCAGCCCTTCGTCAGAGCACTAACCCCCTGGATATACCTCTGACAAGTGAGAACAAAATGGTTAAATTTGATTTTTTTTTTTTTGTAGGATTATCACGAAATAGAAGACTGTGTTCTCAAAAACCCTTGACGCTAATCGCCAGAAACATTCAAAGAGATTACAATCAGACCCAAAATAGAATATCACCTATATAAATGATAATTTTTACCGCAATTGGCAGTAATGTCGCAATCTGATTGGCCAGTTTTCCGTTGTCGATAAGAGTACAGACAACGCTGCTCGCGTCAAAGTATCACGCGACGTGTCACTTACTGAAAGAATCAGTTTTTTTTTTTTTGTTTTTTGACTTCGATATTGTGATAAAAAAATAAATCGAAAGTGGTTAATCGTAGTCTGCGGACCCAGTCGGCTTCGCTTCGCGAATCCACAACATTTTGACCATTGTGATGATAGAATATCGTTGTCAACATGAGTACAGACCACGTCAAACCACCGTCGATTTGTCAAGTTTTAGTGAATTAAACTGCCAGTCGTAAGATTGCTGAAGAGTTGGTCATCAACCTATTGACAATTTATGGAGACGCACAATCGTCCATTGGAAGAGATTCAATACCGATGAAGATTCTCGGAAATTTTGGATGCTTTCTAAATTCTAACAACTAATATATATAACTACGGATTGTTTGGCTTTCGTCGACAGGTCAACAATCGCTAATCTTTGCTAACTGTAGAATGTTATCATTCTTAACACTACTGACTTGAATTTATCTCATCTTATGTTATCAATGTTAATCTGCGATCACAGAGATAACTAAATCTCCAAGATGATTTTGCTTTCTATAAGCTTTCGAGCTAAATTTCCCTATGGGGGCCGTCTCCTATTGATCGCTTTTATGTGTGGCAGTCATTCCGCTTTCTTTTATTCGATGTGCAGGCAAAAATAGCACCAACGTTTTACTTTTTCCACCTGATGACTTCGCTCGACTCCCGCTAAGTTTGCGCCTCTTTATAGGTATCGACCCGCAGTGGGTATTACGAAGCCAATTATCCTAAAGATGATCTGCGAATGGTTCTTATTTCTGTGGATTAAAAGATACCACTATTTAGAAGAGGTATCGTGAAACCACGGAAAATATATATTAGCCTATCAGGATAAGGGTGGTACCAAAAGTGAGCAATGAAAACTAAAACTGAGTGTTCGTGACTGGGCTTTGAGCTTAGAAAATGAAGAATGAGTAATGACGAATTCGCTCTTAGTTTTGGTCTTGCAATTTGGTTTTTAAATGCAAATTATCTCGGGGAATAAGACTGAAACAAAAACAATTTCATACTTACGATCCTAAAAGCTTCTGAAATATACGTTAAGGTTGCTATTACTTTTTCGCTTTATTTCTACTTTTAATTTTAATTACTTTTATATTTGTTCTTCTGATCTTTAAAATTTTAAAAGCCACGCATTTGTACGTGCTTTAATTCAAATTTGGTTTGATATTAAATCTTCCACTGAATGAAGTGTGTTGGTAAGGGAATGGCAGTTTCGAAAGCCAGTAGCAAGGCACAGCAAAGGGGTAAAAAAGATCAATTTTGAATTAGTTCCAAACTCGATAGCCCATTTCCGAATTACCCTTGGCCTCTTTTTCAAAACGAGGCCTGGTGCTCAACTATTCTTCTGAAAATGAGTTTAATTTGCATGTAAATGAAAACTTATTATCATATGAAAGGATGGGTACCACGACTCGTTTTGAAAATGAGGCCAAGGGTAATTCGGAAATGGGCTATTAATCGAAACTTGACTTGAAAAACAAACTTCTTGGTACGAAGCGAAAGAGGATGATTTGTCATTTTTCTGCCAAACATTGGGCTGAACTGAGTTGTCACATTGGAACCTGTAAGTAGTCTTTTTTTGCCTTTCCTGAACAAAACACTTCTGCAGGATGCTTCCATGTGAATAGACAGTATTGTTGCAATCTCATATTCACTTTGAAATGAATGTCGAAAGCAGCACATGATTGCTTNATTCAGTTCTGAAGTGTTATCTACTAAAAAAATAAATAAATAAATAAATAAAAAACAAAGTAGTTTACATTTTCACTCGAGAATCGTCTTTAGATCATCCACAGTCGACTTAGATAGACTGCAATCTAATATCGCCGGGCGGAGGTCGTCAAATATTCTGTCAAACCTCTGAGTCTAAAGGCCTCAGTGCGTACTGAATATTCACCTGCCAATCACCATATTCTGGAAAATTCACCTGCAAATCCACAGCGTCACTTGCACTTACCCTTGAGTGAATAATCGATTGATAGATTTGAATCTTCTATATATAATTTCCTTGTTCTCATAAGCCAAATAAAGTGTCATTTGAGCAATCTCGAGTTCATTTAGTTGCCATGACTATCACAATGTCGTTGAGATGAAAGGAAAATCAGCTTTCACATTTGTGTATTTTCGAACAACTTCCTCGAGAGGGAAAAATTGATTTTCCTTGTTCCCTTCACCAATGCATATCCTCAGATTTCATCGTCTTTATCAATGTTAATTGAAGAAATTGGGTGCGAAAGATAGCAATATTGAGCTTCCATATCTTTGCGATGGTTTTTACTACTAAAGCAGCATGAATTTACCAAAAAACTCTAAACTCAGGTTACTTCTACGAGTGCAAGAAATTTCCTCTATTCGCCGAGTTCTAAATGTTCTTGATTATTTTCTGCCACTCTGTTTGAACGTGTTTTTAAAAAGCGTCGGCTAATTCTCCTCAGTCCTTGTCTGTAGTTAGAACTTTGCGCTGCGTAAAGGAGAGGATTGATAAAAGAGTTGAGAATAAGAAAAAAGCGAACCACTCGGTGTACAAGGTGAAGAGAGTCGTTATTTTGTTTAAGTGTACTCTTTGAGATAAGGGAGACGTAAATAAAGAACACTGCAAACGGTATGCAACAAACAGCAAAAGCTACAGCGAGAGAGACGAGTAACTTTAAAAGGTGTTTCTTGGATTTTTCCGCTTCCCCACTTTCAGCGGAGTTTTCACAACAGATGTTTTTCTTAAAGTGTATTCCATAGAAAACAGAGCAGTAACAAAACAGAATCACAACTGTGGGCATCACAATAAACAGACTGCAAAATACAATTATATACGTCCTTTTAAACGGCGTGAGTCGATCGAGAGTCCATGGTCGATTACAAGGATATGCTCTAGCCTCTGGATCGTAGTCGTTGGATAAAAATCCTGGTAAACATAGTAGCAACGCTGATACCCACGTTGCGACAATTGCATGACGGACGTTTCCTTTACCAAGTCTTGCATTTGTGTTAAATGGTTTCACGAGAGAAAAGTACCTTTCCACAGCTATGACCGTCAATGTGAAAATAGACTCTAGAACAGTGACAGAGAGCACAGCATTTCCTGCAAACACCTTGCAAATGAAATCCCCAGTGGTTTGACTCAGTCTTACGTTATGTAAAGAGAAATCATAAAAGCCCGGACAGAACAACAGTGACAGTAAATCGGCCAGGGCTAAGTTCACCAGCAAATAGTTTGTTGTTGTATGCATGGATCGCGTTTTACACACGATGGCGATCACAACACCGTTGCCAATCACACCAAAAAACACAATGATTGAGTAAATCGTTGCGAAAACGATGTTTTCAGAGGCAACGCCGTCGACAATTCTTCCGTCGATGGTAAAATTAGTTTCACTATTTCCGGAACTCATCGCTTATCAGAGAGGAA